GAACATAAACTAAAACATTTTGAAGTTCTAAAAATAATTATTAAATTGTTAGCACCACAGGGAAACACTTCTCTTAAAATAGTTATTAATACAAATAACAAAAACTTTGCTATTGATTCATATCTTTGAAAAGTTTACTTTATCTACTACGTCAAACTTCAATTATTCTTTTAAAAGGACCACATGGAAGTCATCACTAAATAAACATCTCCTTAAGGTACTCTATAAAGGTTTTTTTTTTTTCAACATGTAAATTTTGTTTATTTTTTGTTTAATAATAAATTATTATTAATATCAACGATTTAAATAATTCAATAATTATATTTTTTTATTAAATATTTAAATAATTTAATGATTGTATCTTTATGTTAAAAATAAGAGATATTAAATTCAAATTACATGATATACAGATAAGATGAAATAAAAAATAAAAAATAATTATCTCTTATTATGTAATTAAAATAAAAAAATAAATTATTCTTAATTTAGGTACCAAATACCTATTTCAAAATCAATTTTTGGGTTTTTACAGGCCGTATGTGCAGTTGATTTCGGACTGAGGGCTGGTCTACCTCGTGCGATTACAAGTGAACTCTCAAACAAAATATTGTAACAGACGTTTTCAACCAACCTACGCAATTTGCGGCATGACCACTAGTTTATACGTAGGGTCGAAGACTTTTGAGCCTGTTAGAAAAAAAATAATCCGACATTTGTGAAATTTTCAATGACCATGCCACGAAAGCGAAAGAAACGGTTGAATCTCCTGTGTCCTCATCCCCATCCCTATCCAATCATTTCAACGGTCCACATTTCCAACTCATCATAATTCCTTAAATCTTAACCATCAGATTATTACACTCATGTACAAGCAAACCAAAGATTATCGTCCCCGTTATCCTTGACCTGGATTTGGATAAAACCCTTTGAAGTTTGAACTGTTTTTAATATTAAAATAAAACTTCATCTTTCTCAAAATAATTATCTTTATATTAAAATTTTATTTTAAATTATATTTTTAATCATTATTTTTTAAGTAAACAAATATTTTTTTACTTTAATTTTATTTTTATAATTATCAACCTTTTGCCAAAGTTTTCTCTCTTATCTTTATTGGGTTTTTTAAAGGACAATAGTATATTTAAAATCTACCTTTTGTTTAATTTTAGTAAAGGTAATTTGATTTTTTTAGTTTTAAGAAATAAAATTTAAGTAAAAATTTACCCTAACATATAAATGAAAATTGAATATGTTTTTAATCAAGTGGAACAACTAAACAAGAAGTTAAAAAAAAAAAATCAATTTGCATTCATTTGCTATATTAAAATTTTAATCCATTTTTTAAAAATTAAAAATTAAAATTAAAATTATTATTGTTAAACAGATGAAGTATATAAATTTTATATAAATTTTTAAATAAAAAGAATCTAAAAAAAATGAAAATTAGTTTAAAAAGAGATAATAGATAATATTATATTGTGCTAGATTGAGACTATGCTCATAAGTTTTTTTCATCTTTTACTACTCTAAAAATACATAAAATATGAATTAAAATTAATTAAAATACATAAAAATTAATTAAAATTTAAAAATTTATAATTTTAAATAAAAGATTGTAAAAACAACATGTGCAAAAGTCTTCTGAAATGTAGCCTAAAAAAATTCCTGTTTCCAACTACGAAAATGAACCTAAAAACGAAAAAAGTCTTCCGAATTTTATTGTTGTTTAATTTAAATAAATACTTTACAATACATGCTTCCCTAAATAGTGCTGTTTTTAACATTATTTTCGCCTTAAGAGTTGACCAAATTGATTTTAAATAGTGCTCTTTTTAACATTATCTTGCAAAACGATCTGTGTTTTTTGTTTCCTGAAAGTGTTGTTCTTTCCGTTAGTGAAGAATCGAAAACGGCGCTCAACACAGAGGAGAGGTAGAGGAGAAGTGGGGAGTGGAGGAAAATGGCTGGTGGGGGGTTTACAGATGCTGGAAACTTGAAAAGGGCTCATCTTTATGAGTACAGAATCACTCCTTATTTCATCTTCGCTTGCATTGTCGCCGCCCTTGGTGGTTCCCTCTTCGGTTATGATCTCGGCGTTTCCGGTCAGTCTTCCCTCACTTTCATTTCTCCAATGTTGTATTTCTCTTCTTTAAGGACTTTGTTTGAATATATTTCCTGTTCTTCCTGTTCAGTTTCACTCTAATTTGTGTTTCTGTTGAGATTCAAATTTAAATCCTTTAACTTGTAAATAAAACTTCTGTTGGGAATTGGGATATTGGAAAATGCTAAAACAGAGTAAAATTTAAAGCTAATTAAGAAGAGCATTTGTTTTTGTGATTTTGGGATTCTCCAATTTCTAAGGGGTTTTTTGTGTTTGGTTGCAGGGGGTGTGACATCCATGGATGATTTTTTGATTGAGTTTTTCCCGAAAATCTACAGAAGGAAGCAAAAACATCTTCTGGAGACAGACTACTGTAAATACGACAATCAGATCCTGACCCTGTTCACGTCGTCTCTGTACTTCGCAGGTCTTGTTTCCACTTTCGGGGCATCCTATGTTACCAGAACCAAGGGGAGGAGAGCCAGTATTCTCGTCGGAGCTGTCAGCTTTTTCTTTGGGGCCATCCTTAACGCTGCCGCTGTCAATATCGGGATGCTTATCATTGGTCGTATTTTGCTCGGGGTCGGAATTGGATTTGGCAATCAAGTAAGCCTAATTATGGGTCTAATTAATGCTCACCAATACTCTAAAAAATGGGTTTTCTGAATTCACTGACTTTCTTCTGTTATGTTGTTTTAGGCGGTTCCGTTGTATTTGTCGGAGACGGCTCCGGCGAAGATCCGAGGGGCGGTGAATCAGCTTTTTCAGTTGACAACATGCTTGGGGATTTTGATAGCAACCCTTATTAATTACGGAACAGACAAGATTCATCCGTGGGGTTGGCGATTGTCGCTCGGATTAGCCACAGTTCCAGCAATTCTGATGTTCATCGGCGGTTATTTCCTTCCGGAGACACCTAATAGTCTTGTGGAACAGGGCAAGTTAGATGAAGGAAAAAAGGCGTTGATCAAAATTAGAGGAACTCAGAACGTTGATGCTGAATTTACCGATCTGGTAGAGGCTAGCGAGGCTGCTCGCGCAGTAAAGCATCCGTTCAGGAACCTCCTCCAGAGGAAGAACCGTCCCCAGTTGGTAATCGGTGCCCTTGGGATTCCGGCATTCCAGCAGCTCACCGGCAATAACTCCATTCTCTTCTATGCTCCAGTGATGTTTCAGAGCTTGGGTTTTGGTTCAGGAGCAGCTCTTTACTCGTCTGTCATTACAAGTGCCATGCTTGTTCTTGCCGCACTCATTTCAATGGCTTTTGTGGATAGATTCGGAAGAAGAGCTTTTTTCTTGGAAGCGGGATCTGAGATGTTCTGTTACATGGTAAGAAAATTGAGCACAAATTCTTCTGTCTCCTAATTTCTGTTCTTTCAATATCAGAAGATTATGTGCTTACTTTGGTTGTTGATCGGTTTGATTTGGTTTAGGTGATTGTAGCAATTACTTTGGCGTTGAAGTTTGGGGAAGGACAGGAACTTCCTAAAGGCCTAGGGATATTCCTTGTGATCATCATCTGTTTGTTTGTGTTGGCCTATGGAAGGTCATGGGGGCCTTTGGGCTGGTTGGTTCCTAGCGAGATCTTCCCCTTGGAGACAAGGTCTGCAGGCCAGAGTATGGTGGTGTGTGTCAACCTCTTCTTCACAGCCCTAATTGCGCAGTGCTTCCTTGCCTCCCTCTGCCACCTCAAGTATGGTATTTTCTTGCTGTTTGCCGGTCTGATCCTCATAATGAGCAGCTTCATTTTCTTCCTGTTGCCGGAAACCAAGCAAGTACCAATCGAGGAAGTGTATCTTTTGTGGCAACGTCATTGGTTTTGGAAGAACATTGTCGGCGATGGCAGTGAAAGGAAATTGGAAGGAAACCCATGAGGTAGAAACAACTAGGAGAAACACATTTGTTATCCACAATTCATTGTCCAAGACATGTCTTCCTCAAGAGTTACAAACAATTTATTCTTGTTCCTAACATATGCCGTTCCATTGGTATCTTCTGCGGCTTTTCCAACAGTATTGCTGCTTTCATGATCTCTGGAACACATTTAAGATTTTGTAAAGGGCAAAACTGGATGAATTTTCTCTGCTGTATTTGTTTTATGGAGTAATAAGAAGTCTTCCTAGCTTGCAAATTGGCATTAGCTACCCTCCTGTCCTTCTCATTTCAGTTACTTCTTCCAATGTTAGAAAACTAAAGCTTATCTTCTTAAAAAAAAAAAAAAACAAAAAAAATTCCTAAAGCTTTTAATGTTGGGTAAACGGATAAGCAAATCTGGTATTACAGCTATCTAAAAAAAATTATTACTAATTTATTAATAAAAAGATATAGTACACTTCAAATTTTATCACGTTACGTTAATTAATAAATAAAAATTAAATTTTTAGATATTGAGATCCTCTTTCATTTAATAGCATTTATTTTATAATTCATTACAATGTAGGTAACAAAACAGTGTTGTGATTTATTGATCTGGAATCTTGGGTTCCCTTAAATATAATCCAAGGAAAAATTAGTTTCAACTTTCGAGTGTTACTTTTTTTTTTTTGGTTAAATCAAAATTTGGTCCCTCAACTTTGAGTTTTGGGCCAAGTTTGTCCCTGAGATTTCTGTCAATTTTAAAAGGAAGCAATCTGACCGCTCATGAACTTCGTGAATTATTATTCTTTCCTTCTGTCTGAATCGGGATCAAGTTATAAAACTTTGCCTTAAAGTAGGGTCGGGACGCGGGCGAGTTCTCGATCTTCTTGAATTTTGTTGCCATTAATTCGACCTCCCATAATTTCCGGCTGCCTGTAAGTCACTGAGGTTAGTGTTTGGTGTTTATTGTTATCTGGGTCGTGTTTGGTTGTTTAGAAAATTTTTAAAAATTAGTGGACTTTTACTTGTTACTGCTAAAGGTTCCAAACCCATGTGCATGATTGTTAATTGGTGTTATCTTTTATTCTTTTATGTTAGTGGTTTCATTAACCAGATGAGCTTGTTGATTGGTCAAAGATCATGGGTTTTATGTAGATTTCTTAAATTATATGCAGAATTGTTGATTCAATTTTTTTTGGGTTTTTGTTTCTTCGATGCCCATTTTTGGGTTTTTGTTGTGTTGTTTACTTGATTCCTTAATGGAAGTTGGGGAAAGAAAGATAATGTTTTGATGTTGCTTGTTACTGAATTTAAGCAATTTGAACGAATTGCAGGGTGTACTTTCAGTTATTATGATGGATGAGTAAGTCTAGCATCATTTGGGTGGTTGGTTTGTTTTAAGAATGGAGTTGCTTTATGGATTTAGAAGGGGGTTTCATAATGAAATCCCAAGATGGCTTTTTCTGGTGGGTGTGGTGGCTATTACTCATTTATTTTTTCAGTCCTTATCTCTCTCGTATGGAAATACTCTTCGGTCTTTGTTTCTTGACGGAAAGCTCCCAATGCATGGGAAAAATAGCCTCTTTGTACAATCTTCCACAAAGTCCACCATTTTTCACAATCCTCGTATGAATTTGACAGATGTGTCTATGTCTGGTGGGGTGGTAAATGATGCTAACAACTTCATTGCCGATGGAGTTGTTAAGTATGGTAGTGGATTTAATGGAGAAGGTGTAGACATCAAGAACAGTTTTCAATTGGTGGGAACCAAAGAAGATGATATGGATAAGCAAGCTGTGGTTAGAAATATAGATGATGGTATTGCATCTAAGACCCGTGAAGATCCAAATGAGAGTTCTGCATTACACAATGTTAAAGAGCAGGAAATTATTTCTAAGGAAAACAGCTTTGATTCAGAGGGAGTCAGAGAAGATGACACTAATAAGCTTGCAATGGATAGAATTGTGGATGACAGTTCTGTATCCGAAACCCAGGAAGATCAAAATGAGAGTTCTGCATCAGACAATACTGAAGATGAGAATGATATTTCTAATGAGAACAATTTTGATTCAGAGGAAGCCAGGGAAGATGAGACTATCAAGCTTGTTGTGGATAAAGATTTAGACAATGGTTTTACATCCAAGAATCATGAAAACTTAAAGGATAGTTCCGCATCACACAATATTAGAGATCAAGAAAATATTTCTAATGTTGAGTTAAACAGTGGATCCAGAAATTCATTTACTACAGGGCAGGTCATGAAAACTGACCATGAAATCTCAACAGATATGCTTTTAGAGAATAAGACAAGTCAGATGCCAAAAGAGGTTGAGCATGTAAATACTGCTTCTCAATCTCCTTCCTTCACATCAGAAATGGCTTCATCAATGAACAATACCAGTTCTGCAAGCTCTGCATCAAATGCAGGTTCTTCTGGTCATTCGGCATCTGTGCTGAATGGTTTTGTGAATTCAAGAAATAATTCTGCCGTGATTGGTAAACCTGGAAGGAAAAATGTGAGGTCTGAAATGCCACCAAAATTGGTGACAACAATAGATGAAATGAACCAAATATTATTGCGGCACCGTTGGTCTTTACAGTCAATGGTATTTGTCTTTTCCAAATGATTGGATCTTGCATTTAATGTGCTTTATGCAAATAACTTGAATGTTTTCTTTTTTCTTTTTCATATTTGACTGTAGGTTCCTCAACATACTTCTGTACGCAATCAGGAAATATTTGCTGCTAGATCACAGATAGAGAATGCTCCTTCCATCAATGATCAAGAACTTTATGCTCCTGTCTTTCGAAATGTTTCCATGTTTAAAAGGTAAGCTTATTGAACTAATAAGAGGAAGTGCCACATTGCCTGTTGACACCTCTCTGTCCATTTCTGGGCATTTGTACTGGAATTGTTCTTCCCTAAGATGACCTTGCCAATAATTTGAGCATCTAATTCTGATTTTGTGCATTAATTGGATGAATCTTGCTTTAGATGATTGTTAATATCTAGAAAGACTAGGAAAAGAGAAAGAAAGGATTAAAGGATAAAGCTGACTGGATTATCATATAAGCATGTAATCATGTTATACAATTTACAATTTCTGCTATAATTTACATTTACAAAAGTAATTGAAGAGATGAAAGGGACTTCTTGCTACTCCAAAACATATGATACATGTGATTCATTCTGTCTTCTAGGTCCATGTAATTGTGCTTTTTATGGCTACTGTAAAACAACAAAGTTTCCAGGAACAGAAAGTACGTCTCATGTAAAATGTTGGGTCTTCCAGCTTATGATGTCATATAATTGAGTTTGAGTATTGAATATGATGTGGCTACTGAGCTTCTGTGCTCCCTGGATTTATTGTAGAATGGGTTATTATTGCATGTTAAGTGAGCTGTTATCAATTCAACCTGGTCAGTGAAAAAGATGGGGTGAATTATCTTAAACACAATTGATCTTATGATAAGGTGTAGGCAAACTTGAGTTTCTGGGGTATTTTTTTGTTTCTTCTTCTGAACTAGCTGCTAATATTGTGGTAATTCATTATTATCAAGGATCCGTAAGACAACTATTATTCATTATTTCCTGGTCCAAGAATTGAAACCAATTAGGGAATCAGTGTATTTTGGTTACAATTTAAGACTGAAGAGTCTTTCTCAGTGAGTTTTACAATATATCTTGGAAACATTACTCTTGGAGTTGGGTGTTCATTTTCCGGTACATGATTTTAGACATTCTTATATGCTTATTTGAGCTTGAATAACAAACAAAAAATGGAGATGAGCACAATATGTCAACATAGAATTTTGTCAGATTAACAAAACAAGTGTTGTTGAACTGCCAATCCAGTTCTCTTATTTGTTTCTTAATCTATAGTTGAACAGTTTGAGCATAAAACCAGATTAATCTGATACACTTTAAAGTGTTTTGAAATCGATGTCAAGCTTGTTTGCAATTTTCAGGAGCTATGAACTCATGGAACGCACACTCAAAGTTTATGTCTATAAGGATGGAAGTAAACCTATATTTCATCAACCAGTACTCAAGGGATTGTATGCCTCAGAGGGATGGTTTATGAAACTGATGCAAGGAAATAAGCATTTTGTTGTCAAGGACCCTCGAAAGGCTCATCTGTTTTACATGCCATTTAGTTCACGAATGTTACAGTACACCCTTTATGACCACAATTCTCATGATTGGACAAACCTACAGAATTATTTGAAGGACTACACTGAAAAGATTGCAGCCAGATATCCTTACTGGAACCGAACTGGTGGAACAGATCATTTTCTTGTTGCCTGCCATGATTGGGTATGTGCTTACTGCCTTGTTCCTTTTTCTCACTTTTTTGTGATAGTGTTAATAAAATTCAGTGGTTCTTAATTAGCTCATTGCCAATTTATTGAACTGATATTTGACAAGCTCTGTTAAATCCTAGCTTATTGGGCCATGTCAACAACACAACATCATCATATCAAGGCTGTGTTAATCATGTTAGTGAAAATTAGCAGAGCCACATCAATCACTTCCGTCAAATTTGTTCATTCAAATGACAAAAGCTATTTATGTGAAGCAGTTGTTTCTGACACCAGTGTATCTGCTTGGTTCTGTTTTCACCATATACATATATATATATATTATATTCACCATATTTTTTATAACATTTCATTCTATGCACAGTTTGGGTGTGTGTGCCTATTTTCTTGCATGTATTTGAAACATGATGCACTGTACTTGTAGGCCCCATTTGAAACAAAGCACCACATGGACAATTGCATCAAAGCTCTCTGCAATGCAGATGTCACTGTAGGCTTCAAAATAGGGAGGGATATTTCTCTTCCAGAAACATTTATCCGGTCTGCAAAAAATCCTCTTAGAACTCTTGGGGGAAAACCACCTTCTAGGAGACACATTCTTGCCTTCTATGCTGGAAATAACCATGGCTATGTACGCCCAATCTTGCTAAAGTATTGGAAGGATAAAGACCCCGATATGAAAATCTTTGGTATGTTGCCTCGTGGTGTTGTAAGCAAAATGAATTACTTCCAGCACATGAAAAGCAGCAAGTACTGCATCTGCCCCAAAGGTTATGAGGTTAACAGCCCACGGGTGGTTGAAGCTATCTTCTATGAGTGTGTACCTGTAATCATCTCTGACAATTTTGTTCCCCCATTTTTTGAAGTCCTGGATTGGGGAGCATTCTCAATAATACTTGCAGAGAAAGACATTCCCAACCTGAAAGACATACTGCTTTCAATACCAGAAGAAAAGTATCTTGAAATGCAACTTGCTGTCAGGAAAGTTCAGCGGCATTTTCTCTGGCATGCTAGGCCTGAAAAGTATGATCTCTTCCACATGACCCTTCATTCAATTTGGTACAACAGAGTTTACCAAGTATAACTTAGCTAAGCATTGCAATAAGGGGTTTAAATTGTGAACAAACGTCAAAGCAGCGGTTGGAGATGGGAATGAAAATGGAAAGGTACGTTCATATAACCCAAGAAAATTTATATTTGATTTTGTGTGAGAAAGTAACTTGCGGAAACACTTGTAAATTAACATCTGGGTGAGAAAATTTATCTGTAAATGTACTCTCATTATTTTTCTACAAGAAAAATAACATGCTCAATGTTTCTTAATACAGACAGACAATGATACTTCCCCTAGAAGAATGTTGTCAAACTCTTCTTTCTTTTCTGATATTCATCCTTTAAATAGTGGGGCTCAGAGGAATGCCATCTATGAAAATTTTAGTTACATTATACCTCCAATCGACCTCGATTCAGCTTTGCAATCTTGGCTTCCTCGGTCAATATAGGTCATGTTGATTTGTGTTGGTCAAAATGTCATTTTCAGTCTCTGATTTTTTAATTTTGAACATTTTAGTTGCTGATTACTTTTGTACTTTTTTTAGTTTCTAAATTATGAAAAATGCATGCATACTTTTAATCTTTTTATTAATTAATTCGTTAAGTTTATTCATAAGTTTAGGGACCAAATTGTTACTCAACTATTTGTGTTCTTATACATCCTTCATAAATACTACTAATAACACTCTAACTTTATAAAGTTCAAATTAAGAATTTCAAAATTTTTTGTTTTCGATGA